CACTAAATCATATATAAAATATTTTTTACATTATAAAAATAAAAGTGTAAACTATATGATTGATCACTTTCGTTTAAGTTTGGTATATTTTTCCTCACTAAAATTAAAAAAAAAACATAATATTTGGTCACTTCTGTTTTTATTCAATTAAGATGCGATAACTTAGAGTTAATTATCGTTAGACTTTTAACATTTTGTTGACATGATGCAATGAATACATAAAATTAAAAAGAATAAATTACACATATAATTACTAATATTTGAGTAAGCTTTCGTTTCTCGTTCAAATTTCAGAAGTAATAAATTTATCGAGACTATTTTATATTATATATCTGAAAATAATCTAAACTGATACAAAACTCCAGTGACAAAAAAACAGTAAAGCATTTCTAACTATGCCATCAAAGACAATTTACAGTGTTTTTTTCTTTCGAAAATACAAATAGATACATCAAGAAAAAGAAAACCAAAAGAGTGGCATAAAAAATAACAGGTGAATGAGTTCATAGAATAATGAAGGTTTAGAATGTCCTGTCAAAGGGAGAACGACATCGTTTGAAATAAAAAATAACGATTTGCATGTTTTATTGGATTAAAATCTATAATAATGTGTACATATTTATAATGTATAATGTCAACATAAAATATGAATAATTAAGTGATTAATTATGTTATAAAGTCATAGGGTATTATAATTATCACGTAAATAAATGTGTAAATACTATTAAAGTAGTATTTATAATTTGACGAGGGATAGAGTTATAATTACAAACAATAACTGATTTTTAAGTCAGCTATATAAATGGGTTATGGTCCCCAAGAAATAGATCATCTTGTATTTTCTCTTATCTCCGTTAGAGAAAATTTCAAAAAATTCTTTCGATACTAGTTGAATACTAACTTCACTTCATAACATAAATATTGACCTTTCAAGTCCTTTGTTATTCATATTCATCACTACTTTCACATGACAATTCCAATTTCACATTTCAACCATTGAAATGAATTCTTTTAGAAGTCATCCCAATTTTCCAATTTATTCAAAATGACCACTTTCTATTTCACCTTAAATTCAAGCTAACCAAAATCATAACTAAACGTTCCAAAATTTAATTCAAACATAGTATATCGAATTTTGCACAATCATCATTTAATTCTTGTAACACCCTCAACCCGTATCCGACCCGGATACGAGTCTGAGGTTTCACATTGACTTTTCAAAACCTTTACTTGTATATTATAATGAAAATTTTCTAACTTATATTCAATAAAACTGCATAATTTATACAAAATTTATCAGAGCGTATACAATTCAAATCTTTAATTACATGCCAATAACATTCCATATAACAAAATACATATTATTCAAACACTTTTCTGATCTGATCTTTGCTAATGAGAAGCTAACCTGACTTGCCTATAATGCCTATCCATGCTCCTCTTTTGCTTCACGGAATCTACGTGTGAAACAGTAACATACTAAGTCGATGACTTAGTGAAGCATATAAAACGTAGAATAAAAACTTAAATACATAACAATACAACAATTTCATATAACAACTCATATCACATTCCATATAACAAATACATACATACACATAGATCCTCATATCACCATCAACATTCCTATCATTATCATACTTTATTATTATTAATCCCTTTTATCATTTAATCTTATACTTTAATATTTATACACATCATATAACACCTTTCATATAACTAATCAATACACATAACATCACATACATTTTATTTATATTATCTCTTTTATTTTCCCATGTATACTCCTGAGAATTAAAGATATGTGAGTACACAGAGGTTGTGCACATATGTTGACACCACAACTCGTATAAGGTCCCACTAGGGGCATATAAAATTGTACCGAAGGACCACATATAACATATATGTCCCAAAGGACCACTTATAAATCTCGACTCTTGGCATGCCAACTATACCTCTAGCCTCATTTAACATAACATGGGCATTATCATTATGTTTTTCATATATTCACTTATTCATATCATATAGGCATATAATCTCATAGCCTCTTATCACATAGCTCATGTCATTTTTCATGAAATCACATAGGTCATATCATATGGCTCATATCTTATTCTTATATCTTCTCATAAACATATAAACACATAGGCCATCATCACATAACTTATACTTCATTTTCATTTATACCACATAGCTTATATCATATTCTCATATTAATACATAGTGTTATTATATAACTCATATCTTTTCATATTGCTTATGTTTTATTCTCTTATATTCACATAAGTCACATACAAGGCATATTCACATAGTACAATCATTATTCTATTCATACAATCATATACTCAAAATTTCTGGAACAGACTTATCGCAAGTCAAATTTCCATCAAGTCCTCTTTCATACTAATATGTATTCACCTGGCCTCACTAGTCAATTCGAGCACTTATAGCTCTTTTCTGATCGATCTTATCTCGTTGACTCATCATGTACTTGCTTTCGATTGATATATACACAATTATACATTTGATATGAATATCAGAATTCTAAGTATGACAATTCGATCCTTAATAACCCAAGCTAAAAGAAATGCTTAATACAATTTTCCACTTTGAGTAGTATTGGTACCCAAGGTATGGTATTGATACTTCCCTAACTATGGTATAGATACCTAGCCTTGGTACCGATACCCTTTCTTGATTCTGGAATCCTTATTTCAAAATGATATCGATACTTGTTCTTATAGTATCGGTGCCCTTGGTATCGATACTACCCTTTAGGCATCGACACTCATTGAATAACTTATCAAATATTTGCTTATGGTATCGATATTGTTCAACTAGTATTGATACCCCTACTCCAATTATCACTCTTTTACCCTTGAAGTATCGGTACTTAATGAATCAGTACTGATACTCATAGCCCAGAAGTCACATTTTTAAACCCGAAATTTGCCAATACTCATTTAAATCCTCTATTTTGAACTCATTTGATGCCACTAAACTTAACTTCACTTAAATCACTTTATATCTCTATAAAACGTCATTATCTTCCATATCACATCCTATGCCTTGACATCAAGAATCTTACCAAATTTATAACATGTTTTAATTTCATTTCTAACACTTCATACTTCTTAATTTAACTGATGACAAGTCAAATTCAACTTAAAAATCCATTTACTCATTATTTATCAATAATTCACTCAAAAACTCATTTTACTTAATCTCTCATAACTCATCCACCTTTGAGTTTTTACTTATTTTTAAGCTTCCTTAAGCTTTCTTAATACCCAAAGAATCAAAACTCATCATAAAAATCAAGGAATAACCAGTTTACCAAGAACTTACCTTTGAAATAAAGTTTACGGGAAGAGAAGAAGAAGAAGCTAGCTGAACTCCTAAGTCTCAAGACTTTTTTTTTCTATTTTCCTCTTCCTTCTCCACGTGTTTTATACCCCACCAAAAGGAAAGATAAAAATCTTTATGGGGAAAATACTCATATACCCTCTCATCTTTCCTTCTTGACTAATCAGTTCTACACAAAGAAATTTCAATTAAACCCCTGAACTTTTCAATTTTTCCAAAATTGATCACTAAGTTTCAAAAACTTTCATTTTGGTCACTAACTCAACTTTTGGAATGTTAAAAATCTCCCTCTCTTTAAGAAAATTCGTCCTCGAATTTTCACTGCACAAATCGATAAGAACACTGCCTACACATATCTTCTAATGTTCTCATGTTGCTTCCTTTACTTATTTTTTCTTGTTTATCGCTAGTAGACTTACCTTTTTCCTTACTCAATTCTTCATCTACATTCGACCTTTATAAATCCATATAATATCACCCATCACATAGACATAAATCTCAATCCTTACTATTCACGATTATGAGTCAGTTGATTTCTTTCATCATTCTCTAAATGCCCTACAATAATAACTCAACTTTTAATCCATTATCATTTCAAAATAACATGCTTGTCCTTCACCACTTGATCAAAAAGAATATAATCATTCGATTGAATCTTAAACTTCCTTACTACCTATGAATAATTTCCTATCTCCCTGACTACACCTACTTAACCATGAAACACAACCTTAAACCTTCATCAGATATAATTAAGATATACATTTTACAAAATCAAACAATCTCTTTATATAACCTTACATACTTTTCTTACTTCTGTATTAAACTTATAATCTACACCTTGATATAACCCTTGTCATACTTAATACTTTAAACTTCATCCTTTTCATTTTCTTATCTATTTATTCTTTCAGAAATCAAGATCTCCTTGTAACATAGGTCATATATTTTCCTTCATACTCCCATACTCTTTCCATATCACTTATACTTATCTCTGATTACCCATTTTTATCACATCTTCATAACTCTGATAGTCAACCCTACTTGCACAAATCTTATTCTTGTAAAATCCTTGTTCAAATCACAATACACATATTCTTTTTATCATCTCAAACTTTTCTACTACATTCTTAACTTCCTTCAGATATACAAATCCTTATATCTTTGACTAAATAACATTTACATTATCAAAATACACAACCATATCTAAATCTACATCATACTTGATTAACTTAACCTTATATATTTTTTCAAATCTTACAACTCTATTACCTTTACCATTACAGTTAATCAGTAGCATCTTTTCAATCTAGGGCATAAGCCCTAATAAAACCAATCATATACATCCTTTTCAGTCGAAATTAACTCAGTGTAATTTACTCAACTTATCAAACCCACACTCTTACTCATACATAATACTATTGCTCTGTTTCAAACTCATAAACTCTGGCATCATTTTTCTTATAAACTTGTCATCGATGCACTTATTCTTGAACTTTTCTACAAATTCTAACTATATCATTTGATATTTTAATGTTCTTATGGTGACATTTGTCCACCATATTCTATCTTATCCACGTAATAATGAAACTAATTCATATAACTTCTCTGATTCAAAATAGTAGAGACCCTCTAACGCTATTCTAATATGTTTTCAACTTTCTGAGAATAACATTTGATCTTACAAGGCACTTCATGAGGTATCAACTTTTCATCCTACCTGGCCAGGGCAGGTGAATTGCTACCATCATCAAGTCTATCACCTTTCACTTACTTCAAAACTTTCATTACTATACTTCTAATATAACATAACAATTTTATTATATTAGCAAGACAACATACTCCTTACACTATTAGATCATATTTTTTTCACTTTGTGTTGGCATATACACATTTTAAAACTCATTTGTATTCGGTTTAAGCCTAGAATCGGCTAAACCTTAGCTCTGTTACCATTAAACGTAACACCCCCAACTCGTATCCGACCGGATACGAGTCCGAGATGTCACATTGACTTTTCAAAACTTTTACTTGTATATTATAATGAAAATTTTCCAACTTATATTCAATAAAACTACATAATTTATACAAAATTTATCATAGCATATACAATTCAAATCTTTAATTACATGCCAACTACATTCCATATAACAAAATACATATTATTCAAACACTTTTCTGATCTGATCTTTGCGAAAGAGAAACTGACCTGACTTGCCTATAATGCCTAAACATGCTCCTCTTTTTGCTTCACGGAACCTACGTGTGAAACACTCACACGCTAAGTCGATGACTTAGTGAGGCATATAAAACGTAGAATAAAAACTTAAATACATAACAATACAACAATTTCATATACCAACTCATATCACATTCCATATAACAAATACATATACACATAGATCCTCATATCACCATCAACATTCCTATCATTATCATACTTTATTATTATTAATCCCTTTTATCATTTAATCTTATACTTTAATATTTATACACATCATATAACACCTTTCATATAACTAATCAATACACATAACATCACATACATTTTTATTTATATTATCTCTTTTATTTTCCCATGTATACTCCTGAGAATTAAAGATATGTGAGTACACAGAGGTTGTGCACATATGTTGACACCATAACTCGTATAAGGTCCCACTAGGGGCATATAAAATTATACCGAAGGACCACATATAACATATATGTCCCAAAAGACCACTTATAAATCTCGACTCTTGGCATGCCAACTATACCTCTAGCCTCATTTAACATAACATGGGCATTATCATTATGTTTGTCACATATTCACTTATTCATATCATATAGGCATATAATCTCATAGCCTCTTATCACATAGCTCATGTCATTTTTCATGAAATCACATAGGTCATATCATATGGCTCATATCTTATTCTTATATCTTCTCATAAACATATAAACACATAGGCCATCATCACATAGCTTATACTTCATGTTCATTTATACCACATAACTTATATCATATTCTCATATTATTATATAGTGTTATTATATAACTCATATCTTTTCATATAGCTTATGTTTTATTCTCTTATATTCACACAAGTCACATACATGTAATACATACAAGGCATATTCACATAGTGCAATCATTATTTTATTCATACAATCATATACTCAAAATTTCAGAAACAGACTTATCACAAGTCAAATTTCCATCAAATCCTATTTCATACTAATATGCACTCACCTGACCTCACTAGTTAATTCGAACACTTATGACTCTTTCCTGATCGATCTTATCTCATTGACTCATCCAATACTTGCTTCCGATTGATATCTATACAATCATACATTTAATATGTATATCAAAATTCTAAGTATGACAATTCGATCCTTAATAACCCAAGCTAAAAGAAATACTTAATACAATTTTTCCACTTTGAGTAGTATCGGTACCCAAGGTATGGTACTGATACTTCCCTAACTATGGTATTGATACCTAACCTTGGTACCGATACCCTTTCTCAATTATAGAATCCTTATTTCAAAACGTTATCGATACTTGTTATTATGGTATCGATACCCTTGGTATCGATACTACCCTTTAGGTATCGATACTCCTTGAATAACTTATCAAATGTTTGCTTATGGTATCGATACTTTTCAACCAGTATCGATACTCCTACTCCAATTATCACTCTTTTACCCTTGAAGTATCGGTACTTAATGAATCAGTACCGATACTCATAGCCTAGAAGTTACATTTTTAAAACCGAAATTTACCAATACTTATCTAAATCCTCTATTTTTGAACTCCCTTGATGCAACTAAACTTAACTTCACTTACTCAAATCACTTTATATCTCTATAAAACGTCATTATCTTTCATATCTCATCATATGCCTTGACATCAAGAATGTTATCAAATTTGCAACATGTTTTAATTTCATTTCTAACACTTCATACTTCTTAATTTAACTGATGACAAGTCAAATTCAACTTAAAAATCCATTTACTCCTTTACCAATAATTCACTCAAAAACTCATTTTACTTAATCTCTCATAACTCATCCACCTTTGAGTTTACTTATTTTTAAGCTTCCTTAAGCTTTCTTAATACCTAAATAATCAAAACCCATCATAAAATCAAGGAATAACCAGTTTACCAAGAACTCACCTTTGAAATAAATCTCACGGGAAGAGAAGAAGAAGAAGCTAGCTTAACTCCTAAGTCTCCAGACTTTTCTTTCTATTTTCCTCTTCCTTCTCCATATGTTTTATACCCCACCAAAAGGAAAGATAAAAATCTTTATGGGGAAAATACCCATATACCCTCTTATCTTTCCTTCTTGACTAATCAATGCTAAACAAAAAAATTCAATTAAACCCCTAAACTTTTTAATTTTTCCAAAATTGATCATTAAGTTTTAAAAACTTTAATTTTAGTCACTAACTCAACTTTTGGGATGTTATAATTCCCTAATTTCTCAACATTTCTAATTTGGTCCTTATACTTGTACAAACTTTCAAATTGGTCTAAAACAACATTCTAAGGCTTTTAGAATCATTCAAATAACAGTTCTAAGATTAGGGAAATTTTTCAATATTTCCCCCAATATTTCCTCTTAGGTCGAATGTTATATAGGGTATTTTATGCTTAATGTCCAACTTGATTCAAGCATGAATTCATTCGAATTTCAATTAAATCCAATTTAATTTCAATTCATCTTCAACTTTCCATAAGAACCCTAATTCACCAAACTTTAATTCAACAATTTCTAATTATTTTCTATCATCACATAAGCTTGGAAAAGATTCTATAACATCAACTACATCAAAATTCATCCTTAAAACATAAAAATCTAACATCCCCTTCATCGATCAATTTCATGAACTTGTGATTTAAGCATGAAAAGCGCAGACAAATTACACCAAATGATAAAAAATTTCATGTAGATAAATTTTCTATTTCATAATTTCTTCCAAAAACCTAATACATTGGCTTGAAAATAAGAAATAAATTTTTCTTACCTTTGTAATGGAGTTAACGGCTTGGAGTTTGAAGAAGAACAAGTTTCAAAAATTTTCACATTAAAAATCTTAGTACACTCAGCTTATAACCATTTAAAATGAATTTGAAATTTATTTTATACTAAAAGACCTTTTTATCCTTTAAAATCATGATAGTTACCAAATTACCATGTTTCCATCATCCTTACATAATCAAAATAAAAAAAATGGACAAAGAATTTCTCATCTTCCAACTTTTTCCTTGCATTTTTCCAAAAATTACAATATGTTGACTTTAATATAACAATCTCAATTTAACATGAGAAATAAATCTTAAATATGATGATCCGTGTTAAATTCTACTAAAATAAAAATATGGAAATGACATTATTTACCTTTTAATGTTATTCTTCAAAATTTCCTAAATTTTCTTTTTGATCTGATTATCCGAATATTTTACCAAACTTTATCACTTTTTATCTTTTAATACAAATTTCGGATAAAAAATTTGATTCCTAGGAAAACTTCATTCATGGGGTGAACTATTCATTTACGGGATAACATTTTTTGGAAAATTACCACTTTGGTCCTTAAACTTTTCCATAATTTGTACTTTGACTACTAAACTTTCAAAAATTACATTTTGGTCACTTGCCAAAATTTTGGGGATATTACAACTCTCCCCGTTAAGAAAATTCGTCCTCAAATTTTCAACAGTACTTGATCCAAAAGGTGAGAAAACATGTTCTCATATTTACTTCTCTTTTTCATATTACTTCTTCGACTTTATAATTTCACGAAAGAACTTTTACCAGTGAGATATGAGAACGTTGAGAAATATTCGAACGATATATCCTGAGAATTGATACATGAAACACATTATGAATCATATTCGTTTCTAGAGGTAAAGTTAGTTGATAAGTCACCGGACCAACTCTATTCACAATCTAATACGGACAGATAAATCTTGGATTCAGTTTTCCTTTTTGTATGAAACTTAATTCTTTCATCCATAGTGATACTTTAAGGAATACTTTTATCATCCACTTGATATTCAATATATTTTTCTTTCAAATCTGAATACGAGTTTGTCAATCAGTAGCAATTTGAAGTTTAGCTTGTAAAAGTTTCACTTTGTCTTCTCATTCCTTGATTAAATCAGGACCCACTACATCTTGATCTTTGAGTTCATAACAGTTCAATGACATTCGTCATTTCCTTATTTATAAAATTTCATAGGGAATCATCTTAATATTCATCTAATAACTATCATTATAAACAAACTTTGCTAAAGGCAAATACTTTTCCCATGATTCTTTGAATCCAATTACACTTGCCCTTAACATATCTTCTGGAACCTGACTAGTTCTCTCAAACTGTTCATCCGTTTAAAGATGAAAACAATATTAAAAATTAAGTCGAATTCCCAAGGTTTAACATAAAGATTTCCAAAATTCTTTAAATAACCCTTGGATCCTTATCGAGATAAACATTTCATATAATAAAATAATTCACTTATTATACCATTCACTGTACTTTTCTATAGAATGATCAATTTGGACTGAGATGATATGCGTTCACTAAGATAATTTACCAACAATATCCTAGATTGAATCCTTCTTGTTGGGTGTTAAATATAGTCTTGTAATAAAGTCTATCAGACTTAATTTTAAAGTCTTTGGTTTTACCTTTTTTTTACTTGTTCAATCCTTGACAGACACTTTTCATCCTTTCTTTGAAGATCTTATATTCGATCCAATAGTATAGATTTTATTCTCAATTCTATGATCACTGCACAATTTTCCTTTTATTGATAATTGAGCCACCAAAGCTCTTAGAACAGAGAATGTCTTCCCACTTAACACATCAGCTACTACGTTAGCCTTCCCTGGACTGTAGTTGATAACCAACTTATAATCTTTAAGAAGTTTAATCTATCTCATTTGTATCAAATTTTAATCATTTTTATTCGATAAATACTTCAAATTTTTGTTCCCTTATGATCGATGTAAATGTATCATCACTCACAAAAATATAGTGACAATATATCTTCAAAGCAAGTACAATAACTGCTAACTCTAGATCATAAGTTAGATAATTTCTTTCATGAATCTTAAGTTTTCTTGAAACATAAACCATGACTTTACTTCTTGCATTAATACGCACATCAAACCATTATGAAATGCATCATTATAAAACACATAATCCTTATAAAATGGTTTGTTTTTCATAATTTCCTTATTCTGACAGTTTGTGCTACTTGTAAATAAGTAATATTATGTATTAAACTACACACTTAAAAATTATTCCATTTATACCATTATAAACTAGACTCGAATAAAAATCTAACCATATAAAGTAATCTTTCTAATCCATCTTACAAAATCTGTTTTGAGCAGGATCTGCTGCCCCGATGTCTGACCTATCATCCGTTAAAAATACATATCTTCTAACATACAATATGAAATCGGTTTTTGTCTATTTTATGTGAAACTAGATTGACATACAATTCCAACGGTATAAGAATAACCTTCTAATACCTTCTATAGAGTTTATAGCTATTTTCCAAAGTTACTTTCAAGATCATAGAATTTGGCAGATTTTACAATTCTGTATCTTTAGCTTATTCATAAAGTCACATAACATTTAGGAGTCACTTCTTAACATAGTAACTCTGATTTTGATTACACTAGTACTGAAACTTCTATCAATATCCTTTTCCTTAATAATTTGGTAAGTGGAGAGACGATCATCAAGAAGTTCTTTACAAATTTTGATAATAATCGGCGAGTTCCACAAAACTCTAAACTTCAAAAACATTCTATGGAGTTCTCTATTCATGAATAACTTGTACTTTCTTGGAATCCATTCTTATTCCTTATACAAAAATGACATGGCTAATAAAAGCAATTTTTGATGACCCAAAATCCACACTTTAACAAATTAACACATAGGTTTTTATCTCAGAGAATTTGGAGTATTATACGATGATGCACGTCATGATCTTTCTTAGTCTTCGAGTAAACTAAATTATCATAAATTGTACCACTACACTTGATCCCAATATGATTAAAACACTCGATTCATCAAATCCATAAGCGTTGCTTGAGTGTTTATTGACCCAAACAACATAACTACTAATTCTCAATGTCCTTATCAATTCCTGAAAATAGTCTTATGAATATGTTCTTCTTTAACCTTTAACTAATAATATCTTAATCAAATATTAATCTTAGAAAACACTGATATGCCTTTTAAATAATCAAAGAGTTCGTCGATTGTAACACCCATTTTTCGTAGACGTCCCTATACATGAGTCATAAATGTCACTTGTCTTTTAAAATGTTTATGTACTTGAAAACTAGTAAATTTGATTTCTTTAAATAAAACGGTTTAATAAATAAATAAAACTCTACTATAACATGTGTTAAAACCCATATTAAAACAGTACGAACTCATTTTCATGTATACATGCCAACTAGAAACTTAAAACAACAACAATATGTCATTACTGATAACAGTAAGTAATCTTCGATGATTGATGTCAAGATCAGCTCCTTACTCCACTGCTCCTTTTACCTACGCGTGAAAATCATCACACGCTAAGTATACACTTAGTGAGCGTAAGAAGAGTAAGTAAAACATTATAAAGCATAAGTAAGCCATAAAATATCAAAATACGAATTA